CAATCAGGGAAGCTTAAGCCGCGATACATCGGACCATATCCAGTTATTGAAAAGGTGGGAGCTGTGGCATATCGTCTAGGGCTACCACCAGAACTGGGCAATATCCATGACGTGTTCCACGTATCGATGCTGAGAAAATATATTGCAGATCCTTCTCATGTGTTACAACCGCAGGAGTTGGAATTCACCAGCGATACACGATTTCGGGATGAGCCGCTACAGATCGTCGACCATAGGATCAAGAAATTACGGAACAAAGAGATACCATTGGTCAAAGTCGTATGGCGGAGTCAGGGAGTAACAGATACAACGTGGGAATTGGAGAAAGAGATGCGCGATCATTATCCCTACCTTTTCGGTAAACATCTCTATCTAAGTTCAATTTGAATTCGAGGACGAATTCAATTTAAGGGGGATAGATTGTAACAAATCTAGATTTTAATAATAATAATAAAATTAAATTAAAAATATATATATATTAAGGCTGCGAAAACGTGAAAGTTGCCGTAGTAGTTGGCAACTACCCACCTATATATCTATATACAATATATATGATAATTATTATAATAATGTGTATATATATATATAAAATTGGTCAAATTCTCCTATATAAGGAGAAACACGTCTCGTGAAATGCAGAGAAAGGGAGAGAGAGAGGAGAGAGAGAGAGAGAAGAGAGAGAGAGAGTGAAAAAAAAAGGGAAGAGTAAATTAAAATAATGCAGTAAAAAAAAAAGAAAGATTATAAAAAGTTAGAAAGAAGTTGCCGACTAATCCCGGTGGACACCACTACTAGAAAAAAATCAACCGGCATAACCCTGTGAGTGAATTTGGATGTGATTCGAAATTTCTATTTTTATTGTCTTCGGAGTTTGTGTGTATATGTGTAAAATTGTTGATTGATTCGTATTCGTGGAATATTTATGATTGTTCTATATGCATGAATTATTGTGTTGATTTAAATATTTTAATAACGTTCAAAGTCTGGACCGAGTCGGACGGGTCCCACACCGTCCCGACTGAGGTTTCAAATAAATCAACGCGAAAATTTAAATATAAGATAAATTATTATTTTATTATCATTATATATTTTTATTTTAAAATAAATTTTCTTCCTCTTTTTTTTTTAGGAACGGGTCGGTCTGGATTCAGATCGTCCGGTCCAAAATTCACAATTCATTTTTTTTTATATATATATTTGAATTTTTCGTGTTTCTTTGTCTAGAACCTTAGTCTGGTCGGTGTGGAACCCGTCCGACCTGGTCTAGACTTTGAATATTATTAAACACAATAATTCATAGATATAAAAAAAAATAATCATAAATATTCAAGCAACACGAATCAATCAACAATTTTACACACACATTCAAACTCCGAAGACAATAAAAATAAAATTCTCGAATCACATCCAAATTCACTCACAGGGTTATGCCGGTTGATTTTTTTCTAGTAGTGGTGTCCACCGGGATTAGTCGGCAACTTCTTTCTAACTTTTTATAATCTTTCTTTTTTTTTTACTGCATTATTTTAATTTACTCTTCCCTTTTTTTTTCACTCTCTCTCTCTCTTCTCTCTCTCTCTCTCCTCTCTCTCTCCCTTTCTCTGCATTTCACGAGACGTGTTTCTCCTTATATAGGAGAATTTGACCAATTTTATATATATATATACACATTATTATAATAATTATCATATATATTGTATATAGATATATAGGTGGGTAGTTGCCAACTACTACGGCAACTTTCACGTTTTCGCAGCCTTAATATATATATATTTTTAATTTAATTTTATTATTATTATTAAAATCTAGATTTGTTACACTTTATATTTAGAAATCTCAAAACTCTAATTTTCAATTTCGAAATCCCTAAACCCTAAATTCCTATTTTGAAATCTCAAACTATCCAACAAGTTTAATGATTTTACTCCAGGATCAGGTCATAGAAGAAAATTAAAAACGGAGAAGAATATGCAGAAAAACCTACCGTTTCTAATGGAAGATCGTTGTCCGACGATGACGAAGATGAACCGGCCTGAGACGAAGCAGAAGGCACATGTGTTCTTGGATCCATGCATGGGTGTTTAATTTTTCATACAAATCGCAAGAGAGATACCGAAATTGTAAGGAAAATCGCTTCAGTTTCTGAAAATCCCGAGAGAGAAATAGCGGTTTTTGAAATCGCGCAAGAGAGAGAGAGAGTTTTCGAAATGATACAAGAAAGAGAGAATTCAACAAAAGAGAGAGTGGGAGAGTGAGAGTTTATCGAGAGAGAGAGAGAGGGGTTTCTTTTTTTTTATTTCTTAAAAACTTAGTCCTTTTTTAATTGAAAAGACATGGTCCTTTTTGTCTTTCCCTTAAAATTCAAAGTTATGTATGTCTTTAACTCATTTAAGTTTTTCTTTTTTTTAGATTTATGTTTTGGAAGGTAGGGTGTGAAATAAGGATAGCATTTTAAGGGTATATTATTTATATCCCCTAATAAAAAGGTAATATAGTAAACAGAAATCGTGATCACCATATTAGCCCCATAACTTTTATGTAATTATACGTGTACCCCTAATAGTTTTATGGTTCGATTAGATCCCAAAAAATATAAGTACAATGTTTGCGACCAATTTGACTAGTGGTGTCCAGAATCTCGGATACTGTCGGCCACCACTCGCGGCCTGTTGGGACACGAAACTCTTATTTCCCCAAAAAAAAAAATCTATAAGCTTTGAGAAATTAGATTCTATGCATCAAATTTAGTTGTCTGATTAATAACGTTAGACAAGTTATAACTTCGATGTATGATTAATACTGTTAGACAAACATTCGCATAGTACCGCGTTAAAAAAAGAATATATATATATATATATCCGACCTAGTTAATATATATTAGAATAACCATGGTTTGATTGATGAGAATGAGTATCACCTTTGCTCCTCGGGCACAAACAGAAGAAAGCTGACATAAATAGACTCCCAGAGAGACTTATATTGTCCGAGGTCTGCCAAATGGTTGAGGAGATGCGGAATTTTAACAAGCAGCTAGAAGAAACGGTTAGTCTCTTGCTCTCATGTCCATTTCTGAAAATTTCAAATGCACATCTCTCGTCATGATTTATCAATGTGCGTAACTATTTGTTGCTAACACCCAACAGTCGGTGGTTGAGAGGTGACAAAATCATCCTCAAGGTTCTGCATTCGATTCTATTGTAGGAAAAAATGTAATTTCTGTACCAAAATGATCCATATACAAGAGTTGGTCCCGTATCTAGGGTGGATGTAGTCGGACTGAAGATTCGGTAACCATCCTAGTTATAAAAAAAAACTATTTTTTGCTAACGCGGTCTCTACGCGTGCTATGGGGGCAGGTACATGTGTGTTGGTTTCTAGACTTGAGTGTTCAAATTAGAAAGAAAAAAAATTCAAGTTTTTGGATGTTAAATGTTCTAAAAGCACTGAAGCTTGAAGGGAAGAACAAAAAACAACACTAGAATTCCTTAATCTATGTGATGATCTTTCTAGTCCTCCTTGTATTGTGTTATTCGGGTTAAGATAATTTCGAATCTCAAGTCCATAGGCGTAAAGGGCTCTGGCATTACCCTCCTCGCCATGGCTAACCTCTTAGTATGTTCATCCTTGACAGGAGGCTAGGACTTACGATTACTTCAAACCAGTAGACATGTAGGCAGAATCAATAATGGAGATTCAGCTCCAAGGAGAGAAGGAAGCAGATGATGGCTGCCACTCAGAAACTTATATGTAAAAAGATTGAAGAAGCTGAGAAACGTGCCATGGCACGGAGAAATGCAAACGCAATCACAAACACTAGTGAGAAGAAGAACCCAGATTCAGAATCGGCAGCCGATCAGTCAGCCTATTCGAATGGTAGAGTTAGAGGTCCTTCATATAAAAAAAAATATTGGTTTTGGATATTTTGCATAGACAAAAGGCTAAAAGGCAGAAATAAGGCCGGCGGCTAGAACTTTATTCACACAAACTTCATCGAATTAAAAATACAGCCAAGGGTTATTACGAACTCCAAAGCCACCCAAGTGATTTGGGGTACAAGTATATATATTTTCACACGGACAAAAGAAAGGGTCCACATCATCGATCTTCTTCTAGCCAGCCCGGAGGAAGTTACGACGTCGTATTTTAGCTGACTTGGAAGTTGGTGTCGTAGCTCTGGTTTGGGCCCCACTCCCTGGGAATAACGTTGTTGGCTTGACGCCACGTGGAACTTCCGCTGAACATAACCCTCGCCGAGAGAGATCCACTCGGTATGTCCGACGTGGCATACACCTCACCGACCACTTGCGTCAGCGTTACCCATCTCCCCTCAGCGCCCTGTTTTAACCCCAAACAAGTCATGTTTCATTTTCGTAACCAGGATCCAAACCGGAAAAAAACGGATAACCCATATTCTCTAACGGTTCGAATTTCAAAAACCGAGAGTTCAAACTACATTTTTTACCATGACTTGAATGCGGGAAATGTCGTTAACACCACCAACGTTCAACAAGGTGAGGGACAAGTACTGGGAAGGGCGAGTGTCGTCGGTGAGCCAGACGAGGACGTTTCTGCCCGGGAATCGGCATGCCACCCTCCGGTACGAGACGCCTACGATTCCAGACGACACGAGCCGGTCCTCCAACCCTGGCCTAGCCATCGCACGGAACGCCGCTGGCACCATGTTGAAATCGTTGCCGCCTTGGTTCGTTGCCAGCACCGTCACGCCTTGGCTGTTACACAGCTGCGTGTTCGTGCATATCACCTACGTACGTGTGACGTCCATGCATGTGCATGGTTTATTAGTATTGTACATGACGACAACGTTCTTCATGGTTGTATGTATTTTTGTTTGGCATGCGAGTTAAAACAAACCTGATAGCAATCACCACAGCCAGCTCCGTTACGCCAGAGAGCACCATTAACACCAGTTACTCTGCCACCATTTGCATCGAGTCCATATTGACCATATTTGCATGCTTTCTGAACTGCGAATTTTTTTTAAAAATAAAGTTTATTATTTTCCAGAAAACATATAGCTATTGTTGTGATATATATATAACATAACTATGTCTTGATTCGAAAACATAAAACTTGCATCTACGATATATATATACACACACACACACGTACTTGATGTAGAACCGTCAATGGTGGCCTGAGTGTTGCCGGACTGGCAGTAGGAAAGGGCGGGCAAGAGAAGGAGAACAAGAGCAGCGAAACACAAACTCTTCATCTTGTCTTGTAATAATTATAAAACAGAAGCAAAGAATAATATATTTTTTCTTTATTAATAGAATGGATTTAGTTTTGAGGGATGAGAATGAAGAGGAAACTCGAGGGCGTATTTATAGGGTGAAACAGAAGAGGCATTGTATATTAGCTGAGTCATCCATGAAGCAGCCGACCCCCCATATGTTCACACGTTCCTCTCGCAAACTAAACGCTGTATTATTTATTTATTAATATTATTATTATTTAGAGTTGATTAGACGCAGACGCTTCTTTTGATTAAGGAGATGGATCGGCCTCTCTGTGGGTATATGTCACATATTATTTTGTGGACCGACATTCCTAAGATTTGCATGCTTTATTAGAAGGGTTTTTTTTTTTGGGTGGGGAGGGGTTACTATGATCAAGTTCATTATAATTCGGTGTAATAATTTGAATTGCTTGATATGCTATGTATACATATATATGCGATTGATGATGGTATTATATGATGAATGATGATATAAATCTTGTTATGTAAACTACATTATAATATATATATTTTTTTGCATATAATTCCACTTGCACGAATGGTCTAATTCGCCATAATTAACACCGTTGTGCATGCTTTGTTCTTTGCCAATTAAAAGTCTAGGTTGATCTTAATGTTAGTTTTTATATAATATACGATGGGCAAAGACTTTATATATATATATATATATATTACATATAACATATTCATATAGTTGGGGGCTGAGTCACCACACGCGCACTCGGAAACTGAGTCAAAGTCAAGTATCCATTATTTTCAATATTCATCCACATTCATTTATATCTCACGACCATTTTTTTTTATAATCAGGAAGTTCACTGGACTTTTGACCCGACTACATCTCCCAAAGGATCGGAAAAATCCAGGTGAATATCTCTCTCCACCCTTGGGTTTGAACCCAGAATGAAAGCATGCTTTGCATGTTCTCTCACCACTAGACCACTCAAGTTTGGGTTATCTCACGACCATTTATTTGTTCATTACTATGCATGCACATATAGATCTTCGTACACATCATATTATAACCCGCATTACCAAATTTATAACAAGGAGAACATCACTCTCATATACTGATGCGAGTTAAAACAAACCTGATAGCAATCACCACAGCCAGCTCCGTTACGCCAGAGAGCACCATTAACACCAGTTACTCTGCCACCATTTGCATCGAGTCCATATTGACCATATTTGCATGCTTTCTGAACTGCGAATTTTTTTTAAAAATAAAGTTTATTATTTTCCAGAAAACATATAGCTATTGTTGTGATATATATATAACATAACTATGTCTTGATTCGAAAACATAAAACTTGCATCTACGATATATATATACACACACACACACGTACTTGATGTAGAACCGTCAATGGTGGCCTGAGTGTTGCCGGACTGGCAGTAGGAAAGGGCGGGCAAGAGAAGGAGAACAAGAGCAGCGAAACACAAACTCTTCATCTTGTCTTGTAATAATTATAAAACAGAAGCAAAGAATAATATATTTTTTCTTTATTAATAGAATGGATTTAGTTTTGAGGGATGAGAATGAAGAGGAAACTCGAGGGCGTATTTATAGGGTGAAACAGAAGAGGCATTGTATATTAGCTGAGTCATCCATGAAGCAGCCGACCCCCCATATGTTCACACGTTCCTCTCGCAAACTAAACGCTGTATTATTTATTTATTAATATTATTATTATTTAGAGTTGATTAGACGCAGACGCTTCTTTTGATTAAGGAGATGGATCGGCCTCTCTGTGGGTATATGTCACATATTATTTTGTGGACCGACATTCCTAAGATTTGCATGCTTTATTAGAAGGGTTTTTTTTTTTGGGTGGGGAGGGGTTACTATGATCAAGTTCATTATAATTCGGTGTAATAATTTGAATTGCTTGATATGCTATGTATACATATATATGCGATTGATGATGGTATTATATGATGAATGATGATATAAATCTTGTTATGTAAACTACATTATAATATATATATTTTTTTGCATATAATTCCACTTGCACGAATGGTCTAATTCGCCATAATTAACACCGTTGTGCATGCTTTGTTCTTTGCCAATTAAAAGTCTAGGTTGATCTTAATGTTAGTTTTTATATAATATACGATGGGCAAAGACTTTATATATATATATATATATATTACATATAACATATTCATATAGTTGGGGGCTGAGTCACCACACGCGCACTCGGAAACTGAGTCAAAGTCAAGTATCCATTATTTTCAATATTCATCCACATTCATTTATATCTCACGACCATTTTTTTTTATAATCAGGAAGTTCACTGGACTTTTGACCCGACTACATCTCCCAAAGGATCGGAAAAATCCAGGTGAATATCTCTCTCCACCCTTGGGTTTGAACCCAGAATGAAAGCATGCTTTGCATGTTCTCTCACCACTAGACCACTCAAGTTTGGGTTATCTCACGACCATTTATTTGTTCATTACTATGCATGCACATATAGATCTTCGTACACATCATATTATAACCCGCATTACCAAATTTATAACAAGGAGAACATCACTCTCATATACTGACATTAAAATTGAAAATATTTAGCAAGGATTTATTTATTTTTTGGTTCTGATTATATATATTAGTATATATATATCGCATCCGTATGAATATTAAACCACATCTTTTAAAATAATATAATTCGCACCGTATGATTTTTCCCGTGTTGTACGCAACTTTTTAAAAACAAGGATAAGAATACACCCACCAAGCTTGAAAAAGAAAAAATCTCTTGACGTCGTCCATTGGATAAGAACTGATTTATATATAGTTGATAGATATGAGCGGTAATTTTCAAGGTTTTTATTTATTTTTCCTCGTCAAAGTTTGAAACTTCAAGAGTTGTGGTTTTAATTATTTTCATTCAATATATCTTGAATCTTTACTGCAAAAAAATGTAGCAGATCATAAAATCATTGATCTATTATATAATAAAGATTAAGGAAGAAATGCATATTCATTAATTATATCTAGAGATTTATTATATATAGATATTCTAAAGGTTAGTTATCTCTACAAAAAAACTGTTTTTTTGCAACGAAAAATTTTCGTTGCAAAAGACCTTTTGCAACGAAATTCGAACGAAATTTCTTGCGTTGCTAACTCGTCGTTCCAAAACAGAAATCGTTGCTAATCATTACAATTAGCAACGACATAGCAACGAAATTTTTTTCGTTGCAAAGTTAGCAACGAAATAACAACGAGGCTATTTTCGTTGCTACTTGCAACGAAAAGGATTGCATTGCTATGGCGTTGTAATATTAGCAACGCAATTTCGTTGGTAGTAGCAACGCTTTTGGGACGCAATTTTTCGTTGCTAATAGCAATGATTAGCAACGCAAACTGCGTTGCAAAGTTGCGTTGCAAAATTTCTTGCAACGTTTATAGCAACTATTTTCTGCGTTGCAAAAACATTGTAGCAACGCAACGCTATTAGCAACGAAATATTTCGTTGCTAACTTTTAAAAAAAAATTTAAAAAAAAAATAAAAAACAAAAAAACATAAAAATACAATTTATTGAAAATCAAAATCATTCAAATTAACAACGAACGCATCTTCAGCACTATCGTTGGGAGCATCATCATTTGCACCGCTACCTCCTGCACCGCCGATGTTGACATTTCCTATGTTTTGATCAACTAGCAGTTGGAGGTAGTTGTGTCGCTGCTTTAGTTCGCCGTACTCAGCTCGCGACACAAAATTGTTCTGCACCTGTTCTTCTAATTCTTGGAGTCGTCGCTGTAGTGTGGCAATCTCCTGAACAACTGATGCTCCTCCTTCCCCGGCAGCGGTGTTGATGATATCTTGTTTGAGCGACCCAAATCCATATATACGACCGTATTTGTTCGGTTTTACGGTCTGAATTCAAATATCTCAATTAGTATGTTATTTAATTATAACTAAAAAAATAAAACATTATCAGAAATAAAAAATAAACCAACTAATTACCTTGACATATAGTTCATCGATTTGTTGTTGTGACAATTGCGTTGTAGTATTCATTCTCAACGCAGTTGCTTGAGATTCTTCAAGCGTTGTTTGCTGTGATATATACGATTTAAAAATTTAATAATTAATCTATATTTATAGAACTATTTATATATTTAAAAACGTACTGCTTCGTTAATCAATTTTTTGGCTTTCCCGTCGATTATAGTACCATCTTTCCTTGTATGTTGATACGTATGTATTGAGTCTAAAATCTATAACCCGATTCACAACTCACCGCAAGGATACGGATCGTCGTAACACGGGGTCGAACGCAAGGACCGGTAGCTAAATCTAAACCCTAATCGAAACTAAATCAAAGCAAGTAGAAGTGGAAGTGAAGATGAAAATATGTGGAATCAATGGAAAATAAAATAAGAAAGAAAATAAAAACGAGTAAACTATCAAGCAAGGATGACTACGGATGTCGGGATCGTATTCGCGTGTATGGGTATATGCTAAGCATGCGAGAATAACGATTATGACTTGTATTCGAGAATCAACAAGCAACAAAGATAGAGAATTCACCTCTCGGTCTACTAACTCCCTACCTACAGAGTAACTCGTCAATCTCTCGATCTATTCAAGTTAACCCTAGGTGCATAAAGAACGCTATCATCAACCCTAGATCGCAATGGAATGATGTTCTTGTCCCTCTGCTCTTTGCTACCACATTATCTTCAAAATAATATGAGGTAAAGAATGATATTTCATGATTGATATACTGATCAACGATTGATCCTTCAACAAAGGCTTCCTGTTTTGCCTTTTTCTTCAAATGATACATAAATCTTTCAAACGGGTACATCCATCTAAACAAAATATATAATTAAACAATCATCAGTTATATAAATAAGTATGTATATATAAGTCCTATATTAATAAAACAATACACATTAATTATAACGTACGTACCGAAATTGAACTGGTCCACAGAGTTCTGCTTTTCGTGAATAAAAGAAAGAAGAGAAAAGCTCATGTAGATGTGTAGTCTCCACGATCGAATCTTCCTTCTT